CGACCTCCCCCCCCCTCCACCCCCTGTCACGTATCTGAGACCTGCCTCTGTGTGTGTTTCACCTCTGAGGTATTACCACAGCTTCTCCCTCCTGTCTCCTCCGGACTCATATTTCACACACTGTCACAGTTTGAGTGACATATTTCATCGTACAATAAATCACTCCGTCAGGCCAGCAGGGGCACACCACGTTCACCGTGTTCTGACGAGGTCCCCACAGTTCAACCAATCGGACGATTATCGTCCATAAAACAAACACGCCACCGTTTTCCTAATTGTTTTTTCTGTACAAACAAGCGCCGAGGAATAGCTCTGTTGAAAAAGGTCAATGGGATGAGACGTTGTTGTCAATGTGTACGTGTTCTCCACACACACACACACACAGACAGATACAGGCAGTATGGAAGATGCGCTCACATGAGGGATCCTTCTTTATCAGATTGTATCCACAGACGCTGACGTGCCAGGACTCACTCACCCCCCGCCCCCCACCCCCCCCCCCCCCCCACACACAATAAGGGTCTTGTGAGCCACTCCACTGTCAGACAGTCAAACTCACAACCTCAAAATCATTCACAGGTATATTTTTATGGGGTCAGGGGTCAGAGGTCACTTTAGGGCACTGGTCTCCTCCAGTCTGTGTCGATGAATGTGAGTGTAAATGATCTATATATGGCCCTTGGGTGGATTCATGAACGGCTCCTGGTGTGTACCCCGCCCCACCTGTTGACTACTGGGATTCTGACATTTCCATTCAAAACAGAGGAAAGTGAGATAATCTTATCTTCGTAAATTCCACTGTTGATATATTTTGGAATTTCTCAGGGCTGCACGCTCTGGTAATCAATCACCACTTGCCGACAGCCTGTGATTGTGAAAACGTAAAAGTTACAGTTTGGACCTAGTTGGGAGTGAGTTTTTTTTTTTGGAAATCTAACGAATGTGTTATAATAAAGGCGAAACAAAAAGAAAAATACTACAGCACTACATTCTGCCCAGGATTTGTCCTGGCAGTTCATTTTCATTTTAACATTGAATTACGTGGAATGTTCCCAGTACTTACTGTAGCTTCTTTAGAAAAGCATTTGCACATTGATGGTGTTGTCAAAACATTTAGCTCTTCAGCAGAAGGGACGGTCAAGTGCGTTTTATATATTTGCATATCGCGGCTGTTAATTACAATAGTAAATACAATTAGGAACTTTGAGTGCCTTGTTTGTCCCCTGTTTCTGGTGTTTACTTTCTCGATGTTCCTTTTTCTGCTGTTAATATCTGTCTGTTGGTTCAGTTACTTAGGTGTATTTATTCAGTCACTCTCTGGTCCTCCTCCTCTCCTGCCACTGAAACCAGCCCAGCTGACTGTCAGCTCCACGTGACTGCAGAGACGGGACGAATAAACATTAGCCTCCAACCAACCGAACGGCTGCTTTTGTCGTACACACACACACTCTTACGCAGCCTCGCACACACACACACACACAGCAATAAGCATGTTCTCGTTCTTCCTGCCTGGGTTATTGTGTTTGACCCAGTGGAGAATCCCCTGCATCCTGTTGTCCAGTTTTATGAGAAATAACAAGCCTTTTCTCTTTTCTTCTCTTCATCTGACCACACACAGATGGCCGTCTGCCAAAACAACAGCTCAGCTCCAAAAACGTCAGCTTAGAAAAAGCCCCTGTATTCATAATTCCATTATTTGGACGAGTCACAAAGGAAAACAGGTGTGAAACATCAACCTGCTGTAAAATATTTCCCTGCTCCAGGAACTTACTGTCGTAATAAGACGCGATGACTTCTCTGAATTAATCATGATTAATCATTGCTTAAACAAAACCACATTTAACTGTGACTAATCTGCAGCAGGCCTGTGGTTATCGAGATTAAAATCTGAGTTGATCTACAGCCTGACATGTACAGAACTGCAGCCGCTGCATTTGTTAAGGCCCAGAACAGCCTTTACAGATCAGCTCTTTAATATAAAGTGATCAATATGTTCAGAACACGGATGTTTTTGTTTTCATCTGAGAATAACGTCATCAAAACGTCCAAGGACTCCAGGGACAAAACCCAGAGGTCTCCCTGTGGACAGACCAACGCTCCACCAACACAGACAGGACAAAGCAAATAGACCTTGGAAATAATACAGTGTTGTGTTGATAAAACCAGCTGATGAGCAACATCCTGTGAGTTCACAGCCTGTCTGTGGGGCTGGGCTGATGCTTATGCTGGTAAATGTTCAGATTTATCCCATCAACCGAAACCTCCTCCTCCTCCTCTTACTGTCCAGACTCTGTTGACTGAGTCATGCCATGCAGCCACACACTGGATTTACTGAGGGTTTTATGGTGTCATCAGTATTTAGAAACAACTAAGTGGACTGTTTGGAAAATCTCGTTTGGTAAACACAGTCTCCAGAGTGAAGCAGCTTCAAAACAATAAGTCAAAGTTGCAGCCAAACAGTACCTTGTTGGAGGCCATGTCACTGACAGAGCGGTAGGTCTGGATGGTCTCCAGCTGGTCCAGACACCAGTCCAGCTCCTCCATCGTCTCCGTGGCCAGCTTCTGGTAGGCCTCATCTGTCAAACAGAGGCAGACGATCAGACCAGACAATTTACATGGAGTTTGGGCGTCGCTGTTTAGCTACAGGCAACATCCAAGTACGGCTTTAACCCAAGGTGCTTTCTGCTGCTGCTGCTGCTGAAGAACAGGGGAGAAGAAGTGGAAGAAACACTCTTTGAACACAGGGAGTTGGAGCTGTGGGCAGCAGGTGGACCGAGCAGCTGTTGGGGCGGGAGGGTCAGTACGATACTGCATCCCTAAAAATGAGGGAAATGTTTGTTATAGTTAAGGTTAGGGAATTGTTTTTTTTAGTTCGTATTTTGGTTTAGCAAAGTGACCGTGTTGATGGCGGACTGGACGGACACGGACACAGACACGGACACAGGGACACGGACACAGATGCACAAACACAGGCATGCGGCTGCAGGAATACACACGTCGTCTGCAGCCTCAGCATTGTGTGTACAGCGGGTATCCTAGCTGCAGAGCACAACAAGGCAGCGGGGCCTGCACCGCCGTGACCTTAGCGCGGTCACGTAGAATGTGTCCTCTGCTCTGATCTCCTGGCCATCAAAGACACCCGCCTGTTTGCTCTTCCAAGCATGAGAGGCACCTGGCCCCCTGCCCGCAGCCTGCCCTCATGCTGATGAGGAAAGTGAGAAAAAGAGAGGGAGCCTCTGTGTGTTTGGTTGGACCGCGGCGGCATCTGACGTTGAAGCAGATTCCACTCACACGAGAGTTTCCTCCTCAGTCTTCCCTGCGTGTTTGTGGAGATCGTACAGGAGCTCCTTGTTCCTCACTTCTCTCCTGAATCTTTCATCTTCAACAAACAGTTCTGGGTTGAACATTTCTAGTTTTTGTTCGTCACTAGTCAGGAATAGATCAAGTCAGGGGCAGAATTTGTTGTTTGTTTGGTTTTGGATTTTGGATTTAACACAAAGTGAATTCTTCTTCAACCCAAAATCCAGCCTCTTGTCATTGTGCCACATAAAACCCTGAAGTTCCTTGAATTCCTAACTATCTCAGTGGAGGCTTGAATACTTTTGGAAAGGATGCACGGAAACGAGCATCCAGGTTTAAATCTGCACCAAAAAAAAAATTATTCTGATTTTTATTGAATAAAAATTGAGACATTTAATTGTGACTTTATCTTGTGACTTTAAGTTCAGCAGAAACTTCACTACTGTATGTTTAACTTAATGAGCACCAACCCAGTACTACTAAGTACT